TGTCTTTACAATGCAAGGAACAAATTAAGTTATTTTACACTAAAGTCTCACAGTCAAAGGCAAAAATGACAAAATAACATGAAAAGACAAAGCCTCCCACGCAGACGTTCCTAGGAGTTCATCAGGAACACATGACGAACCCCTAAGAATGTCTGCATGGGAGGCTAGAAAAGGTAGGAACTAACTGAGTTGTCTTGGGCACCAGGCATACATGGAGTCACTCTAGGCTAAGCCCTTGTTCTGGTCACCATAGCAGCTAAAGTGTTTGGACCATTTTGGACCACTCTCAAGAACAAATTAAAGACCGTTTCGAACCATTCAAAACACAGTAAATTAAGTTGTGGTGAACATAAAACCACATTTCCAGAGTGTGCTACAAATTTAATTATTAGTGTTTTAACAGAGCAAACTATAAAAGATACTTTTAATTTGTAGAAAAATGGTAACCCTATCAGTTTGGAATTTGAACTTGCTTTATTCTTTGTTTGTTTCATTTCTCCTGTAAATCCCTTAAAGGGCAGAGGAAAATGTTAACACTTTAAAATTTTACACCTACTTTTTTTGTGATTTGTCTAACTCCTTCAGTCTTTTTCTTGCAGCTGACATAGCTTCACTGCATTCTTTAGGAGCTGGTTCATACTGAAATACAAAATAACAACAACAAAAAAAGATTGAAGATACAGTTGCTAAACATTAGTTAAAAAAGTACTTTGGCAAGGAATCAGTCATTGATTTAATACCCTTAATTTCATAATAACCTCCTCTTGCAGATGGTTTTTGTCTTGTAAAACAATAATTTTTCCCTACAGAGGAAGAACATCTTTGAAGGAGAAAAACAACAATGGAACTGGTTGAGCAACTCTATGTAAATATTCTTTTGTATATATATAGCAGCTTCACACCAATGTCATGCTGGACAGAATGATGGCTAAATTCTACTTGAGCATGATTCATGTAAAACTAATGATGTGGAAGCAGTATTTTGAAAGACTAGTTGTCACCCCTAATACCGATTTTTAGTTTGAAGATTGAAATGGTTTGTTAGGTCTTGCTGTGTTTTTTTGTTAAGTATAAAAAAAATCTCTTACTGCCAGGTATTTGCTTCTTTGTTGTGGAGGCAGCTTCTGTATCTCCTTTTTACTTAACACTTTCCAGTTTCTTGCTTTAAACCTTTCATTTTCACTGTTTCCACCCCTGGCACTTGTTTTCTCTATATTGGGTAACTTAACACTGGATGAAGATTTTTCCTGTTGACAGAATACACAAACATGGAGAGACTCATGTCATAAGTGGGTGGTACAGAGGTCACATTGACAGTCAGCGACTCTGAAGATGATAAATAAACCAGTAATGTAGGAGCTGCATGCTCGTAGGGTGTTTATCATTTATCATTATTTCCCATTCTTGGTCAGGGTATCAAACCAATTGGCTTTTAGGGTTAGGAGAGCTGGAATGTCAGTCACTGTCAAGGCCCTTTTTGGGGGAGTACGTATGTCCCTCGTCTGAGTTTCAAATATGGTCGTTTTGCATTTTAAGGAGTAGGCCATATCCCTGTCAGTATTTGACCCATCTTTAAATCATTTGCTGCCATTTCATCTTGTCACATGCCCCTGTTTCAAGGCCGCATCGCTTGTCACTATTTTACCCTAACAGGGCCTCACTTGACAGGCAAAATCAGGNAGCATGATTCATGTAAAACTAATGATGTGGAAGCAGTATTTTGAAAGACTAGTTGTCACCCCTAATACCGATTTTTAGTTTGAAGATTGAAATGGTTTGTTAGGTCTTGCTGTGTTTTTTTGTTAAGTATAAAAAAAATCTCTTACTGCCAGGTATTTGCTTCTTTGTTGTGGAGGCAGCTTCTGTATCTCCTTTTTACTTAACACTTTCCAGTTTCTTGCTTTAAACCTTTCATTTTCACTGTTTCCACCCCTGGCACTTGTTTTCTCTATATTGGGTAACTTAACACTGGATGAAGATTTTTCCTGTTGACAGAATACACAAACATGGAGAGACTCATGTCATAAGTGGGTGGTACAGAGGTCACATTGACAGTCAGCGACTCTGAAGATGATAAATAAACCAGTAATGTAGGAGCTGCATGCTCGTAGGGTGTTTATCATTTATCATTATTTCCCATTCTTGGTCAGGGTATCAAACCAATTGGCTTTTAGGGTTAGGAGAGCTGGAATGTCAGTCACTGTCAAGGCCCTTTTTGGGGGAGTACGTATGTCCCTCGTCTGAGTTTCAAATATGGTCGTTTTGCATTTTAAGGAGTAGGCCATATCCCTGTCAGTATTTGACCCATCTTTAAATCATTTGCTGCCATTTCATCTTGTCACATGCCCCTGTTTCAAGGCCGCATCGCTTGTCACTATTTTACCCTAACAGGGCCTCACTTGACAGGCAAAATCAGGACTTGAGTCACATGGATGGTCATCTCCATTACTTAGAATAGAGTGATTTTTGTATGACCTTGAAAAATGGTTCCGGCAAGTATTTGTTAATTGTTTTATCAGCCAGTGAATGAAAAGATCAAAACATGGCCTCTTTGTTTTCCCGCCAAAGAAAACTCTTATATGGAGAAGGCATTGTTTGATTGGCCAATCTTGTTGCACTATGATGTCAAAGCAAAGTATTGATTGATAATTTTCTAGAAAGTTTTTCTGGCATAAGGTTTTTAAAACCGAGCGTTCACTTAACCAACCGAAAGCCACTCTCATTTGTATCCATTCGACAAACCAATCAAATTGCTCTATTTCCATTGGTCTGTTGTTTCTGTTTTTTTCACGAGTTTTCATTTCCAGGTCATACGAAAATCGCTCTATAAAAATTTGGAATTAGACCTATTGTTATTATTTCCTCCGTTTAGTGCCCCTGGGGGCTTATTTCTTGAGGAGAGGTGTATAAGTAGGTACAGATCAACGAACAGTGAAACCTACATGTACAAGCAGACACTCACAGGACCTTCAGAGAAATCAGCTTAGTATAGTAGAGGTGTCCCGTGAATAAAGGTTCACTTTAAAGAAAATATGGGTAGGGGGTTTGAAATATACTTGTACTGAGCCATTTATTTGGTGTCCGCTACTTTGTTTGTGGATGTCCATATGAAACTGATATATAGCATATATGATTTTTGGAAATGATTTCCCTTGAGGGTTAATGGTAGCTAATGCGTTTGATTTTTGCTACGAAAAGAAACGATAGACTGACAAACAACAACACTGTCACAATAATTTCTGCAAACAATAAAGCTTAT